ATACTGCTTCCATAAGCAGCATAAATACAGTTCAAGGAACAGAAGTAGCTCTACAAACATCATATTCTCACCTATATTCACAGGGTTTACATTGCTGTAAAAAAGGAAAATAATTAATGCAAGCTGAATGCTAACAGACAATGTGGTGAAAATCATTAAGCTCTCCCAGCAGCATTACATAAAAAAAACCCCAAAACATCAAGCCACGAAGGGAAAACTCTACCTGATAGAATTATAAGGAATAATTATTATGGAAAGCATACTGACTGGACAGTGACCATCAAGGGCAAAGCATCGTGCTCTGCCACAAGAGCTAAGTCTGCATGATGAGCAGAAAAATATGAAAAGGCATGTGATTGCCTGCCATCAATTTGAAAAGTTTGACCAAAAAGTCATTAATTGACTTCAGCCTACAGTTCCTTGCCAACAATACAGAAACAGGTGGAAAGGACCAAATTAATAGTATTTATAGAAACATTCCTCTTGTATTGCCTGGCCCTCAAAATATTTCAGAAAGTTTTAACTTGAATAAATGCTAAAAAATGCCTTATGTGTCAGTGCAGTTTCTGGACTGCTTTGGACTAGCAAAACTTAAAAATTCGGGTGTGGGATTATTTTTCTGCAATTCAGCATCTGAGTATCTCCATAATTCCCAAAAGGTAGCAAATGAGTCTGCATTAGCTGCACTGCTGTTTGACAGTGGCAAAGCAAGGATCTGTGTGGAATTATCTGTCAAACAGCAAGGCAAGCTCTCTGACAGCAAGAGGGCAAACAGGAAAGTGGAGCCCTTTGCAGTTTGTGGCAATGTGAACTTGCAATAGGTGATAAAATTTAAAAAAACAAACAAAAAAACCCCAAAAAACCAAAAAACCAACCAACCAAACAAACAAAAACCAACAAACTTATGTTGGGAAAATACACCATAAGCAGTAAACTGCAATTACAGGGAAAAGCAGGCACTATCTTTTTAAAGGACTGCATTACGCCTTTGATTCCATTTCTCCTGTGGATTACTTGTGGTATAAACACATACATACACACACACGCTTCCCGTCCCTCACTTCCACTCCCAATAATAGCAAAAATAAACATGAAAAATAATATTAAAAAACTCTGTATTCAGTAATATTCACACCAAAGTATATGTATAGATATATCCATTAAAATTATGAACATTTCTAAATATATTTTATGTATCATACATATATTTATATGTATAATTACATATCCACAGAAGTAGTCTTGCTGTGCTAAATAAAAGCAAAAACAGGTTTCACAATAGGACACCCATATATGCATATGTACTGGCTGTTTGGTTTGTGAATTTATTTACAACTTAACTATATCATAATAAACGCTTACTGTTCTATTGTACAAACGTAATAGTAAAGGTTTAGGTTTGTTTTTTAAATACAAAGACTGCAAATGAATACATGAAAAAAATTACACACCATGTACAGTATTTATAATTTATAAATGCAAAGTTAAGACCTCTTTAAATTATTGCACTTGCATATTTTGTTTTTTTACAAAGATAGTTTATATGTATCATATATATATATATGTGTGTGTAAATATATATATATATAAAACAAACTTTTCAGCTCACTAAATGTAGTAAAGTTGAATGTTGTTACCTTGAAGTTCGTTCTTCTTCACATAACAGCCCAACCTGAATTTTGAATATATATGAATCTACTCTACAAATCAGTTTGATCTACCCTAGAAAGCAGTCCGCTATTTTAGGTTTTTTGACAGAGTATACACCCGTATTACAATCGAGCACAGTTTTTGGTCAGAAAGCAAAATAAGAGTTATGATGTGCCTTTGCTAGATTGGGATATATAAGCTAAAGTTTGAACATGAACTTCCTTGTAGTAGTGTGCAGAAAGCCTTTTCTGTGTTTAGAATGAACAAATTAATTGTTCCACTTCACAGAACTGTTCCTATATCACAGTGTTTGAGGCAAATGCATTATTTCAAGAGGGTCATAATTGTTTTGAGCATCTAACGATCTCTACTTTTTAACACAAATAGTGCTATTTGCTATCCCTACAACTTTTTAAACACTGAATGCTCTAAATGCAGTCACAGCAAACTGATCACACTGTTCTAAGTTTATACACATGAAAGAACTCTGTGCCACATAAAAAGATGAATTCCACACTGCATGTCCCCTCCCATGTAAATATGTCTTATCATATACTCCAACTAAAAATCCCTATTGCATTTCTCTAATGGTGACTTATTAAAAAAAAATACTGCCATGAGTTGAACCATTACAGCAGAATGTTGTACTACTGTACAAATTCATAGATTAATTATAACAGTGGAGTTTCTGTCAGTGCTGTAATAAAATATGCAACATCTCAGATGACTATCATGCTATGACACCTTTTTTTCCTCACTTAATGCATATCTTTCAGACACCATGTCATAATACTTTAGAAATGCTCAGATATGGCTTCAAACGGTCCTTTTACCTTTACCAGGTTTAGAAGGGAAAAGCAATTGGAATTATTAACAAAAATAATGCAGCTGGGGGAGTATAAAGTTTAACACTGCTAGGAAAGGTGAGATCTGTTAGGGGTTTTATACATTCTTATTAATCTTGGGCAAGATCAGTTTTAGCACGATAAAAATGCAAGGAAGAATGGCTTTTGGCAGTTTAACTTAATGAGCCAGATGTCTTACAGATCTAGATGTCTTACTGGTCTGTTTGGGAGTCCAAGTCCAGAATTTTGAACAATGAAATCTCAACATGTACTTGAGCCATGAAATTTAAATGCAGCTTTGAAGTTTTAATTTTTGGTGGTTTTGACTTTGGAAGTGTGGGTATAAATTTGTTTCTACAAAAAAAATTTACACATCTGAATCTGCGTTCCTTGTAAATGGTAAGATAGACTGTTTGCTTAGAAAATACAGCCCATTGCAGCTGTTTGTGTTGGTCTAGGTGCTAACAAAGAGTAACATTTTTGTCATGATCTTTTTCCTTTTATAAAACCAAACCACAACCACTGGAGCTAACATTTTTAACTCTAATGAACATTATCCTACAGCAAACATATTTAATGTGGTTTGGATAGTTCTATATTAGAAACAATACCTGATTGATTTGAGACATTAATAGAACAACTTATTGCCAATTTGACAAATTTGTTAGGGAAACATGTTCTGTATCAGTACTTATAAACTTCAAAAAATAAAATATTATGGGATACTGCCAAATATTTTGAATGGCAAGTAACAGAACTAGTGAAGTTTTCTTTACTGTCAATGAGTAAAAGATGAATTAAAAGCTTTCCATAACACAGACACAATGTGATGAGGCATCTTTTTGCAACGCTTGTAAGATCAGCATTCAAAGAGGGAGAACAACAGCAAATATACTTAACCCATGAAGGAAAAATGTCCCATCCAGTTGTTGGGATATCTGAATTTCAGAGAGTATTTTTGTAGTCACCACAGATTTGGATAATCTTCATGTAAATATTGGGAACCGTGGATTGTGTCTCAAGTACTTAACAGATGAAAGGTCACATCTACAAGATTCGGTTAAACCAGAACTGCTAAGGAGTAAAGTAGAGGACACAGCATGAGAACCTATTTGTTCTACTTTAGCATAATTGTTTAGTGCCATTTTTTTTTCAATTATTATTCCAAAATAGTTTGCTGTGGTTAACAATGAATTTCTGCACTTAGAATTAGCAAAGCAAACTGAAAAAAAAATCATGGGGCGGCTGCTGCTAGGTAACCTGTATCATACAAGTGAGACAACTTCATATTGAATTCTCAGCCTCTGGGATATCCATGTACTGCAAAGGCTTAGGTGCATTTATACATTATGCGATTATGTATCACATACTGTACACACGTACAGACACTGGTATGTGCTCGACCATAACAGAAGGCAAGACTCAGGAGTCAAAGTTATTTACGTGAAACCCATAAGATGGTATGCTTATTAGAGCAATACAGTTCAACAGACATGAGATGGAAAAAGAGAACTTGTGTCACTACTATTATTTGTTGCAGTTACACAAATGGACATGTGATCACAGAATTACTACTACAAGAGTGTATTATCTGTGAAAGAGCATATAATGCGGTATAGGCTGTATGTGAAAGGTATGCAAAGACTGTGTTTTCACCTACTGTGTGGATCAATATGAAGCTTTTTTCCTCATTATTTTTAAGAGAAAGATGAAGGCAAATTAAGTGTTGTTGAAACATACTCTGTACAATTGCACTATATTTAAAAGAGTAGCATTAAATGTAAGGTCTTAAAGTCTGTGCATAAGTTTGTAAGGCTGAAGCCTAAGTCAGCACAGAACTGTAAACACAATATTTTAAAGTACTTTTCTTCAGTCAGCTATTTTTCATTGAGGAAGGCAGTTCTAAGCCTGGAAATTTTGCTGAAATAGGGAGGAAAAAAAAGCAAACAGACAAATGGAGAAGTTTCCTAATTTCACTCATCTTGGGATGGGGGAAGAGAGCAGTAGAAGACATGCAGTGTTACTGTGCAACACAAAAGCTAGTCAATACAAAAACATTTTTGATTTATTGTGATGGTACCAGAATCTCTCTTATCAGACCTGATTTTTCTGACAAGGCTTTTGTTCCCAGCAGATAGCATACTTCAGGTATGTCTCTAATACCGTTTAAAATACAACTCAGCAGGTAGAAATAAAGATGATTACTTTACTTAATTGTGAGCTAGGCAAGGAAATCTTTGCTGTCACATTTAAATTTTAATCTGCTACTTCTGTCATTATGGATACAAAACCTCCAATCTGAAACTCTCTCATATCAGAGAAAAATATCCAGTACTTCCAGTGTTTTAAGGGAGGAATTGTCTAGGTTTATAAATCATTCTGAAGAACAAAGCACCATCACTAGTTCTTTCAACATTTGCCTTGTGAGTGACAGACAATTTGCATCATGATGCTTAATGAAGTACTTTAAAACTTTAACCTGAATGTTGGTTTTCCTTTAGTTTGCAGCAAGAGTATTCACTGTAACCTAAGCATGAATTATAGTCTCCAAGGATTCTGCTGGAGTTCAAACTGATTACAAGTAGATCACACATAAACATTCACAATAGCAATGGGTATATTGTTCTATTTATAGCCAAGAACTCCCAAGTGACACTGGTGTTAAAGCCAGCCACAGTACGGTATAATAAAAGTACCATTGAAACCCTTACTAGAAAGATACAATTTAGAAGTACCCCTAAGATTTTTTTTTTCCCCCCCATCAGTTTTAAATTAAGGCCTCAGCAATGTAGCCCATGAGATAAGGCCAGTCTTTTATATTCACAAATTGTAAGTTCTCTTTTCATAGCTGATTCCAAAACATCTGGGTTGCCGTTTTCCCTCTGTTCACGTTGTGTCACTGGTGTAGGTCAGGAGATTGGCTGCCAGAGTCATTTAGCTGAGGTAACTCCATGGGTGTTACCTTCCTAGGCAGATCTGTTTCTTAGTTAGCATTTTGTAGCTTTTCTTCTTCCTTTTTTTTTCCCCCCAAATAAAACCAAACCAAAACAAAAAACAACCCTCAAACCAAGAAGGGGTGCTTTTCCTGTTAAAGCAATCTGTTGCTGCTGTTCAGTCATCGATCTTCACAGGAAGTGAATCTGAGGTCCCAGGAGCAAGGGACTGGGAGGGAATCCATATAGAGGCTTCCTCACCTCTTGTTACTTTCTCCCATTGGTTGAGATTGTCCCTGGAGATACAAAAAGGTCAAAGAGGTAAAGCATTGTTCATAAGTTTACTAGGGTTTTGTCCTACCACCGTTGTCTGCTGTACTATACTTTGAGATGTATATAAGTACCTGTATGTCATCAAGCTTTTATCATCTTTACATTATTTCATCCTTTACCTTCAGTTATCCCATTTTGTAATTCTGTGTGGCTCGTATACGTATTGACTACATATGAGCCTACGGCATACCTTCCCCAGAGCGAGCCCTGGAGCTCGAGGCTAGCGTCTGCTTCCATTACAAGTTTCTAACCCTCATGGCTGTAAAGAAAACCCAGCTGTGACCCAACAGAGACATGTCTGGAGACAAGCAGCCTTCGTCACTTCAGACTTCAGTGATTTTACCACAGCATACTTTGGCCCTTTTCAAAACCACCACAGAGGTCAGGACTTTTGCCAGGAAACTTCCTTCAGCGGAAACCACAGAAGCGCATTAAAGCCTCCTGAAACTCCCTCACATGGGATTCCTGACAGCGTAAAAATGCTGCATGCCAAGACCACAGTATCAACTTTCAGTTACTAATGTGGTGATCATATTATCAATCTACTACATTTAAAGACTACCCTTTCCTCAAGATAGATTTTTTTTTTTAGTGTCTCACAACCTGGCCAACCCCCAAGTCCAAATTTTGATTCACAAGCCATAAAACGATGAGAAATTAAGCTGGTAATGTTCTAATGATCCAAAGGGAGTACACACCCGTACTCTTACTTGCTGTACACTAGCACCACTTCAGTGGCTTGGAAGTCAATGTTGATGATAACCAATATCGGACCATACTTGCAACCTACGGCCAAATCTAGCATTCAGTCTTCAAAGACAGAGAGAAAGAGAGCAAGCTCGATTGTTTCAATTTCATACTACCAGATACCTAGCTACTAAACCAACAGCTCTTAGATGTCTTCAGTAAACAAACAGGTCTTACATGCTGTGTGTCATATTATCATATTACATCGGAATTTATGTGGCAGAGCTCTTCTGACTTTTATGTCACAGCTTTGCCGAAACAAGTTGATAAAACAGCAAATAATGAGCTGAAAGCACAGAGAACAGGTAAGAAGAGAAAACATTGCATTTTCTGGGGATGGGGACCTGATAGGCAGGATCTGATGGAGCCTACCGAAGAAAGCTGGTGCCCTCTAGGGGAACACCTACACCATTTTCTGCAGGCAGGTGGAAACCGGCGCTGCCAGCGCTCCAGGCCAACTGTAGGCCACAAAGCCAGTGTTAATATGGCGCCAAATCTCAACTAATACAATCAGGTGCTAAGGATCAGAAAAAATGAACCGTTGCTATTTCTAGGTCCCTTTCCTAAAAGTAATGAAGAGAATTGCAGCCAAAATATTTTTAAATTACATCAATTTCAGCAAGAATTTGAGAGGCCTGAAAGCACATGGAAAATTGTTTAAAATTATTTGGTCTGAAATAAAGGAAAAAAAATAAATCACTTCACCTCATCCTCAAAATATATATACTATAATAGATTTGCCACTTTGGCAGGCCTACTGAGTATGTGGGCTACAAAACAGGCATAGGACTTATTCTGAACACTGTAACACAGGTGGCTGGTAGTTTTGACCTACACAGAATGACAAGAAAGTATTTAAAAATGTGGAATAAATTACCAGACAAGAAAACTTTCTAGATTCTTAGCTACTACCTTACCTCAGGGAAATTAGTGACTAATACTTTCTTTTTTTTCCTTTTTTTTCCTTTTTTTTTTCTTTTTTTTTTTTTTTTTTTTTTTAAGATACAGATAATACGACTCATTTGCCTTTGTACTCCCAATGAAGCCCTGGCTCCTAAGTGTCTGGAATAAATGCCCAGAGGCTCTCAAAATAAAAAAACTTCATGCTGACATGCTGCCTTGGCTGCTTCTGCTGCTATTATTTGCAGCTGGTGTCTGCATTCCAAACTCCAGGACACGGCAGCTTACACACTGTGTTCCAAGTACAAGCACTGCTGGTGAAGGGGTGATATCAAAATCAGTTCAGTCAGCAGCTGAGGCTATACCAAACAAGAATGAGGCTTTATTCCTCTCATCACACTGCATAACAGTTACCCATCAAAAATAAAGGAAAAAAAAAAAAAGTGTAGTGCAAAAATCAGCTATTTGAAACACTCTGGCGTAACCTAAACCCTGCAATAACATACACTTTAGTAATTGGGCAGTTGAAGTTAGATATGTGTTCTTGATTTCATACACTGTATCTCCAAGTCTGAAGTCTCAACACTTCCTCTTCAACCCCCTCAAACCGACAGCAGAGGGTAATTTCAAGGCTAAGTTAAAACTGTCAAACTGCTCCTCAGAAGACTTTATACCAGGGTGTAGATTTTCAGGAAGCTCTTTAATCTTATGGACATCTTAAACCCCATCCACACATCTATGCCCCAGTTCTGCATCAGTGCAATCTAAATTAAGGAATGCATAAGAGCAGGGTGGGGTGTTGTGTCTGTACAGAGCTGTGCCTAGTCTGCAAATTGCGCCAGTGTATCTTTCAGAAGTATCAGTGTTATAACTATAATTGGAATTCCAAACAACAAACATAATTTCTAGAACAGAAAAAGTTCATATAATCTCTGCTGGGAATCTGATTGCTTTTACTTCAAACATCACACCTTTTGCAGAGAAACCCACTCTTGATGCTCATGCTTGGTCTTCAGAAGCACAGTGAACCTTTCATCTAGAACATGTATATATGTATGTGGATGCTTGATACCCTACAATTCAACTTTAAATCTCCTCAGCTGAGTACTGAAAGATGAACCATCACATATTACAAGCCACTTTTTTTTTTTTTTGGGGGGGGGGGGGGAGCCTCATTTGGATATCCATGTGTCTAGAAATCAAAAGATATAGGTCTTCCCAAAACACTGCTCCTGAAAATAATGCCGTGCAGTCTTAAACACTCAACCTAGCCTCTCTAAGCCTCAGTTCCCATTAAGTGGAATAACAATGTTAACTTCTTACCAAAGGTACTGGCAGGCTTATGCAAACAGTTCTGCAGTAAATACAAACCCAATTTTAAGACCTCCCATTTGATTGTGCTAGTAACAGAACATTCCTGACATCCAGCGCTGAGGTTACTTTATTAACCATAGAGACTCTGCAAGATATTTTCATGTTAAAAGCACGCAGATCAATATTTGGGGAGTAAAAGTCCACCCAGATGTTGACAAATAAGTAATACAAAAGAAATAAAAATTTTCACATATAAAAAGCAGTTTGACAATATTTGTTAGCTTGAGCAGAAACAAGTAACTGGAAACATTCATGATAAGCTGCTTTACTGCATTTCTAATGGTGGCTATTACAGTTGATGCTGTTTAGTCCATGTAAACAGTATAAAACTCTTTCTGACTGAAAACGTGGTTACAGAAAGCACAATCTGTGTTCCAGTTACATTGATCGAATAACCGACCATTTAGCTTTCAGCCATCAATACAGCTGAAGCAACTTGCCTTCAAGCGAGGATTACAAAGAGAAAGAAGTTAGAAAACTTCCAAGATCTCAGACTACCTCTCAGTAAAGCAGTTGCACGAGTCACGACCTCGTAAAGATTGAAAGGATTACAAGCAGTTCTGTAGTTTACTTCTTGTTCTCTGATTTCACACTGAAAGCAACTCTTCTTTATTTGCCAGAGTACACATTATTCAGTTATCTATAATCAAACTATCAACACATATAATAAGGTCAACATGGCTCAGGGAGTACACATTCCTACCCAGTACTGTAACTCTGAATTCCAAAACAGGATTTGGACTTGGATACCATTACAACAGTAACACACTCTACAGCACTTTGAAACTGGAGGAGAATTTAATGCTATATTGTAACTGATGGAACCACTAAAATATGCATTTAGGGATACTTCCACATTAGTCAATTTAGGATAACACATTACTGCCTATTATATACCAGACATTGTTACTTTCCTAGCTTCTAAGGACAAAAGACACTACTATAAGGATCACCTAGGCTGACTGCCTGGAAAAGACAGGCCTTGGCAATTTCATCACAGTAACTGTACCTCAGACCTGTATCCCGTTTACCTCTCTCTTTTAAAAAGTATACCTAGCCTTGGTTTAAGATCTTCAACTGACATTATTCCAAATGCTAACAAAGACATTCACCATATTCCTTAGTTGAACCTTTGGGCTTCTAGTAGTCTTTACCTGTTAAATCAATGAGCTTTGTCTAATCAGAAAACACGCTATGGAGACAGTTACAGATTTTGATAAAATCGTTCTCTTGGATAAACTAAATACATTATGCCAGATTTTTAGTCACTCGCTACGAAGATCTCAAAACATTCTTTAAGCTCTTTCTTAATCTTCTCTTATTGGCTAGCGTCTTTACCTACTCTTCCTAAAGCACAGACACTAAACAGGATTCCAGCTGTAGCCCCATTAATGTAATAACTACAGAGATGTAGTCTCTAATCCTACTTAATATTCCCTCCATATCCATCTAAGGGTTGCACAGCCATGCCCAGCAGCGGGACCTTAGAGGCAGCTGACTATTAATGATGGCCCCTAGATACTCACTGTTTTTCATAAGATAGTCCTCTTTCCCACTGGTACAGACCTACGTATTCTTCTCATAACGATATGAAATAAGTATTTGGGTGCGAATGAAATTATTTTGCTAATCACTACCTTAGGCAGATCTGCCTTACAGGACAAAGAAAAAGTTCAGTGCAAGCTAGAATTTAAGGACCACAAAAGGGAAAAAAAGATTATAAGAGAGATGCTAGTAAGAGCACAGAAAAACAGGCCTCTTTTCCCTGTATGTGACTAAAGATTGCTGGCTTTTTATGAACCAACTGTTTTTCCTTAGAGATTACTGATTAACCTGAAACTGGAACATTTTCATGAAATGTACTGGTTTCAACAGAAGTTTTGTCAGGAAAGATTGCTAAGGACCAGGATATAATTATTGGGCAGAACTACCTACAAAGAGATCCACCATCATGCCAGGGTAGAAGCAGCCAATTGGTTAAGGACCCTGGACTCTCCTCCAGATCCCAAGCTACAATATCCTAACTGATCAACAGGACAAAGTTACATTTGCCTCTCCCACATCCCAGTGGTACTACCCGTATGCTCCCAATTACAGAATATGCTGGGAATCTTTCTTTTTTTGCTTTTTAATAGAACTATTCTGACATGTAATAAAACCACATGCCAAACACACTTTTTTTTTAATAAGACAGAATTCTAGCCAATCTTAGTTGTGAGAACCATATTGAAGTAAAAACGACAGAAAGGAAAATTGCATTGAATCAGCCTAGATACGGATACACAAGCACTGAACCACTTTATGTCTAAATGCTTTTGGCAAACGCATTTTAATCAGCTGTGTCTGTAGATCTGCATTGGATAGTCCCAGCCAGTAGTTATTGCCTCTGGGTTTTTGCATAGATTAATGTGAGATGTGTATCCCTGTTTATCTGTATGCCAATTCTAAAATTAAAAGTCTGTGTTTCCAGACAAACTTGCAAAGCATGTTTGCTTTTTCTTTAACCAAGCTACACACTATGCAAAAACTTGCACATTTACTCACCTGCATGCTCGGAGTAGTGGCCCAGTTGGAGGAAAGATCTGTGCAAGTGTGGTGTAACACGGAATGGCTACAGCATTGTAGAATCCAATCTATGAAAAACAACAATGAAAAAAAAAAGTTAAATGTTGCCAAACTACAACACTGAAAGTTAACAGCCAACTAGCTCAAAGCTGTTGATTGTTTACTTAATTACTACTTATGTTAGTACTTCTTACTTCTGCATCTTCTCTTAATATTGGAATACTTTGAAATGAAGTCTCTGGCAATTACAAGTTGCTTACATGCCTCTCATGACTAATAATGGCTGTTTCAGATAGGATTTTCTGCAAGACCTTTTATTATTCAGTTGATTTGCTTAGGATCTGTCTGGCTTTTTGGTGTCAGTAGTGGCAGGAAGAAGTGTAGATGACAGAGCCATTTCTGCAAACATTATTCTTCTGATGAATTTTTTTTTTTTTAAAGGAAAGTTGTGCAGCATTGCCAAAATATGGTCAGATTCTGGATTGTTCTGATGTCCTCCAGAGTATATATTCCATAGCTCAATTTACTTGAGATGCTAGGGGATTTGCACCTTTGGAAAGCTTCTAAAAGGTGTGCACTGTGATCTATAATTGGTTTGCAATTTCTTTTCATGTATGCAGTTCAGTGATATATTTTTACCATTATCATATAAGTCTATTTGGAGATCAAATGAGAACCTTTTTAACGACATCTGATTCATACAGGCTTAGGGGCCTATGACAGCTAACATGTCACAGCTGAATTGTCATGACATGAGGGAATTTTTAGAAAACGCTACTTATATATTAGCAAGGATGACAGGTTAAATTCAGATCCATTATAACATTGCTCATTTATACCAGACTCTCATGATAGTTACAGTAGTGCACTATGACCCCTTTCTTTGGGCAGAGTTTTTAAATGCCTTTTAGTGAAATACCATGTATTGTACTGTGATCAAAGCATTTGATAATTATTCTAAACATTGGCCTTTCTTCAGAAATTGAAGGGCCACTCTTGTCCTCACCTCCATCAATACAGAGATTCCTCCCATACTACTATGTAACCAAGTCCATTCTTTACTTTAAAAAAGGTAAGACACATTTTCTGACCTGACAACCCAATAGCCTGAGTTGAAGTAATCATGATGTAACCGATAGAAACTGCAGCTGGTGAGAAGGCAAGGCTGCACACAGCTGTGATGTCTGCTCATTGACAAAAAGTTTGCTATTTTGCATAGTGCATTGTTTTCATCCTACGTGGTTTTTTTCTTGTGTTTTTCATTCTTGTTTGCTTGTTTTTAAGGGGAAATATTTTATTTCACTGGAAAATAGCCGATTACTCCATAGCTATCAAAAATCAAATGGGACCTTAGGTTCAGCCACACTGTAGACCTTCTGGCTCAATCAGAAGTGCTTTGCCATTGCAAACCAGAAAAAATTTCAACCAATCTAAGTTCATCTGCAATATATTCTGAACAACCTTCTCTTTGGAACCCCACTATTTAAAATAAAATGTGTCCTTTAAGGTCCTGAAAGCTTTTAATTTAAAATGCACATCAATCAAGGAAGAAAAACCCTAAAAGGCTCAATGGATTTAGGTTTTGAATAAAGCCAAGCTAACTAAAAACATTCCTTTGCAAAAGTTTCCATTTCTGACCAAACTCATGCAAATGCCTTTTGTAAAAGGTTTAAGTTACCTGAATATATTATTCCAGAGTGATTTCTGTGTTGCTGTGGCTAGACAGAAAGCCTAGAGTTCACTCAGATATGAGCAATCTATTGAAGTGACTGCAGGGAAGGCAGTGTATGTGTATCCTAAGATGCATACGAAAGAGGAACAAGAGAATATCTTTTGTTTCTGAAAAAAATTGTTCCTGTCTCTTCAAACTGTGCATCCTAAACATACTGCTAGCTTTAGAACTGTATCTTTAATAATGATAATGATGATAAACCTTTTATTTTCAACTTGAAAACTGTATTTCTGGGATAAGCTTTGAATGGCTGAAGCACGCGAACCGTTCCTTCTCTCTCCCTTCATTAGTCAGGCTGGCTTGACCTGTGCATCAAAAGGGCTTTCAGATCACTGCATAGTTTTGGCATTTCTATTTTCTTCACAGGTTCCAAAAGGAAAAGGGGCATAAAAGAGGGTGATGGGATCCTTGCTGAGTCAGGAACAAATCAACAGTGCAGGCTCCGCAGTAGGAAGACACCAAGCTCGGAGGCCTTAGGTGAGTTGTGCCGCAAAGGGTGTAAAGCACCGCAGGACCGACTGATCCAGCCTCCCAAGAGAGAGGAAGAGCCAAGTGCAACCTATTCTCATCAAAGATGAGTACTTGTCCCAGAAGCAGATTTTTTTTCAGAGATTACATGTTTATATAAATCCTCATTTCCTAAACATCGTCACTTAAATAAGGTATTAATGTTTTAATTCCAATTCACATAAAAATACTCATTAATGCTTTTTTTTTAGAGCCCAACGAAATGGATGATAATGCTTTATTAAATTCTTCAGTCTCTACATAAATATAGGAATGGTTACTTTCACAGAATTATAGATGTCCTAAATCTCACATTTTGCTGTAACGTTGTTGTGAGATACAGCAGCTACAATTATACTACTGAAATTGGCTTTTAATGTCCTATTTTACTTAATATTTTACTGTTATACTACTCTTTAGAAGCATGAAACAGAGCACAAAGTAAAAAAAGACCCCGATGAAGACAGTACCTGGAACAATACTTACTGTGTTTTAAAGAGAAAAAAAAGAAAAAAAAAAAAAGCTTATTTCTTAGAACTGTGCTTTCACCCCATTAACAATTCTTTCACAAATGTCAAGATGACTACATACTATAATAGTGTGTACTTTTCAAGATGTGGAAAAATAACGCAAATGCAGCAAAATGTTGCTTCTCTTTTTGGGTTTATACTAAACACACATATTTAGTAAATTACTTGCTAATTCCTTATATAATAAGGGTAATAGTTTTTATGCTAAAATATGATAGAGCACAGTGTCAGGATATAAAAATTTCCATAGTCTTGCTTACCAAGTAATTAATCTACAGGGATTTTGTGATACTTTGTCATTTCTATTTTAAATATTATTGTTGATTTCCAAGTTCATGAAATGCTTTGTGAGTGCTAACTATTGAAAATTAAAGAATCAGAGGCCACTAAAATAAAAAAAAACCCTTATACATATATATGTATATGTGTATATGTATATGAAAGGCCAATGGACAATTTAAATTTTTCTCTGCTCAGATAATCAAAGGACAAGCTCCATTTTTCATTTACCCCAGAAAGTTAAAGACCTTTCTTTCCCCTCAAATTTATGTTTACAAAATATAACTTTTTCCTACGGAAAGCTAAAAAAAAGCAGTCATTTCTGCACATTTGTGCACAGGAAAAGCAGTACCCAAAGACTTTGAAAAACAGACAGTTGAGACTCTTAGAATTCTACCCTTTATTGCTTACCCTCCAGAAACTCTTCAATTTTCACCCCTCCTGGAATGTCAAAAAGCAGTGTTTATAGTTACTAAAAAAGCTAATGAAGAAGTATTGGTCTAAACTTACAAATATTTTGAAATCTGAGCCTGGATATTTTAACCAGGAACAGGTGACGAAGTTCATTTTGCATTTGGGATAAAACAGTGAAACCTTTTAGTTAAGGGCTGAAGCAACCACTTACTAAGTTGAAAAAGTGTTGACACTTCTCTCAAAATCGTAGGTGATTGTGGTTTTAAAGTTACAAGTACAAAGAACGGAACAGGTGACAACAGCAAAGAGCACGTTGTCACTTAAGTAATGTCTTTGAAATCAAGTTTTCCACTGCTGCTTAAAAAGATTAACACTGTTTTGCATGCAGAACATAGAATTCAGCAGCCCACGTACTCTAACATCAAATGAAATATTCACTAATACATAAAGCATTTTTTCCATACATGTTTTATTAACACTATAAAACACGTATGATTTTACAGAGAGAATTCATACCTGACCCTGAGGGACTTCATCTTTCTTGTCTCTGTCCATCATAGGAATAGGTTGAATACCAGTTTTCTTCATTTCATCACCCTAGAGAAAAACGGAGAGAGAGATTAGGAAAATAAAAATCAAGACTATTGAGATCTGAATTAATTTCCATCTTCTATTGTATGTCAATCTAAAAATCCAAAATTTAAAACAATGTGTGGTACAGGTCTAAGGCAAATCTCAGAAAACTGCTTAAGGAGGGGCTCATTTTATACATTCACCTAAATGATAATGTAAATAGCAGATCCTGAAAGTTTTTGAGTCAATGTACACACATTTTCTTTGTTTTCAAGGGCATCTACGTAAAAAAGAAACTGGAAGAATAAACCCAAAGAAATCAGTTCATTCTATACTGTTCTATTCATAATTAGTCTCATCTTTCAAAACATTACCTGTTTAAAGCACTGTAATACAATGACCAGTGGAACACAACTCACCCGTCCAAGGAAAAGCTGAGTAAAACAGATGAATTTACAATATGCCCTCTTTGTCAACAATCCAGTCTTTTTGACCACGCTGCTTTGAAGAAGCTGCCTGTCAAACAGCCTTCTTTTCTTTAAGTACGTTATCCCTCCACATAAGAGGAGTACTGAGAAAGATGCAGTATGTCCAAAGACCAGATATATTTAATGTACAAAAGAAAACTGTCTTCTTATATTTCACCCATTACCAGCAGAGCAATCAAAACACGTTTTTGAGCACTGTACTGGGCCTGAACACAATTACTCCTTAAAAATCCATAAGCAGCTGGCTACTTTCTGTAACAAATTGAGGCATAAGACTTGGAAAACTTCAACGGCATTGTCAAAATACCACGGATGTTTAATCTTGAGGTTATAAAAGCAACCACAGCCATAGCAATGGTTGCTTTTGGATACCACTCATGTCTGAGATTCTAAAGTCAATGTGATCTTCAAACTGCTAACCTTATGTATTGGGTTTGCATGGCGAGGTTTTGGTAGCAGGGGGGCTACAGGGGTGACTTCTGTGAGAAGATGCCAGAAGCTTCCACCGTGTCCAATAGGACCAATGCCAGCACTATGAGGGCTGCTATGGAGAAAGTTAAGTCCATCCCAGCCAGTTCCAATACACCTTAGTTAGGGAGACAGTTTACGCAGGATAACTGCTCATACAATATTGACTTATCCCTGTTCTTTAATGTGAGATTCAACTTACAGAGGCTTAGCTATGTGAAAGCTTGGGACATTCCCTAAATCAGTGTTCTATGCTTATGCTACAGTTACTGAAGGCATCTCCGGAAGACAATTTATTACATCTTTCTCATAATATTTTATCAAGCCACGTTTCAAGAGCCAACGTGCCCTAGCAAGGGAGGATTTTGGCACCTTTACTCAAAGAGAAGTTTGCAATATAATAAATTGGTTCTGGTTTGAGCAGAGCATCTTTCTGTTTGACTGCCTTGCAACTACTTTGAATGTAGAAAAGACGGGGCCTTCTGGAAGTCAATTCCCTCTTGCATACTTGGCCTCACCATCACCCATTAACTATGATCCTGCTCAATTAACCAACAAGAGATGTAATCAGGAAGCTATTTCTGAACTGATGCCTGTACTATTCTCTCATATCACATATTTCTTTCACCAAGTAGTTAGAGTAGCTAGAATTATCAAATCTAGCCTCTGTTAGACATTTTACTGTTGAAAGAAACAAAAAGGAAAGGCCTCCACCGTCAGCTGATTAAAAAAAAAAAAAAAGGAGAGAAAAAAAAAAGATGCCTGTAACAATTCCAAGCACAGAAATTCAGTGGATTGTTATTTAGGAACTGTAAGCAAATTTTAGTTTTATGTCCCCTCAGTAAATAATATTTAATTTTTTTTCTGTTTGCTTGAAGTACTGCGATTGATTGATCCAGGACTGTCTGCAGCTACCATAGTCTGAATGATAAGAACCTCAACCCTAAACCATTCAGATTTTAAGCTCTTTGATTAACATAGTATCAAGTGCCTGAGAAACACTAGAAGTCAGAGCTTTGAGGAAGCTGTCCAGCCTCTGACTGATTAGAGCCCAAACTGAACAAAGCTCAGATTTATGTTCACCATTTCATCTTGAAAGAAAACGGTATCATAGAATCACAGAAAGGTTTGGGTTGGAAGGGACCTCTTGGGATCATCCAATCCATCCCACACATCTACCCCAGCAGGATCAGCGACAGCAGGTGATCCAGGACTGTGTCCAGTCAGGTTTTGAACATCTGCGGTGATGGAAACCCCCCAATCTCCCTGGGCAATCCGTGCCGCTGGGTGACTACCCTCGCAGTAAAAAAGTGTCACGTTTAGATGGAATGCATGCACTAGAAACACAAGTGTTTTCTTATGTTCAGTATGTGCGAACACATATATGATACACTGTTGTAAAAATACTGCTTTTATCCTCATAGTTATGGTCACGATCAAAAAGTTAAAGTTGAAATTTTAAACAGTTTGTATTGTACTTGAAGTATGGCTATAATAAGCAGTTTACAAGTCTCTTAAAAAAAATACTGCAGAAACTGGCCGGTGTCTCGTATCTCACAAAAAAAGTCACAGCGGACAAATCTTATACAAGCTTGCAATCCTATATAATTGACCAGAAAATGTATTATTTTGCATGAGAGGTAGCGCTGTGGGAAAACTTCATGCTGAGTGATATCAAGGCAGGTCTTAGCTGAAAACACTAGCTATACTGGGCTTCGTTCAAAGAAAAAATATCAGTGTGGCATACCACAAAATTGCTGCAACCTCTTCTACAGTTATTGTTTTAGTTAATGATTACACAAAGAAGAAATATTATAAAAATGCTCTGATTAAATCATTCAATGTATTAAAATTATGAACTCAAGTAGTAATTAGAAGCAACATTCTATCCTACTTTTAGATCTGTAATATAACCATTCAATCAAATGTCAAATATACTTGTCTAGAGTTTACATTTTTTCCAAGTAAAAATTTCTGCAGTGAAACATAATCTAAACTTTCTGTTGAATGAGTGGCAGGGGGGTTGGAACTAGATGATCTTTAAAGTCCCTTCCAATCCAAACCATTCCATGATTCTATTGGTTTAGCTTTCCCAGCATTTTCTCTCTCTCTGTCTCCAGTTTTCCAATTTCCAGAAGGGTTTAGACCTGCGACTGGATTTGTCAGCTATCCTGACTGGATGACTACATATCCAACTTCTGCCATGTATCAATTAACCTCTTCTTAAAGAGGATTCAATAAAACACCAATTACAGAATTCAATTTCTGTCAATAACTTCTCATTTACATTTGCTCCAAGAAGTAGCAATATAACAAGATCCACCTTTATTAACTCATCCTTGGATTACAAGGTTAAAGTCTGGCAGGCTCAATTATTCCATAATTCCATCTTTACTATTGTTGAGTAGGAAAAATCAGTTTGATCCTTCCTTCTCCACAGAGTCCGCAAGACTTGCATTAAAAATTCTTTCTACTTGTAAGCAAAAAAAAAAAAAAGAGTATTTAATCAACGAGGCACATCAACATTATACCGCCATTATAGCACTCATAAGAACGCTCACTTTCCAGTGCTGATATTTTAGAAAGTGAGTACTGAACTAGATGTTTGAGCTTATGGAGTCTGTATTTTTTCAAATATTTTATTGTAGTCTGAGCTGTTCATAATTAAGAGAATAAGAACATTAATTATGTGAATACAAAAAACACCCGCAGGCCATCCACATCTTGAATTTCATAACAAACATGCAACAGGCAGGACAACAATCTCCACACTATATGCATGCTACATCAAGTCTGTGGGCCTGATTTCCATCTCACACCTGTGCAAAACAGAAATAAGCCCACTGAATTCTGCAGACTTCCACAGGGCACGTAACAGAAAAGAGCAACACTTTATGATACACACATGCAACAGTAGTTCTCAAAATACAGCGTGTATTCTAAAACTGTGTAATTCATCTCTATGCAACACCCTCAGAATTTATTCCTTATCCCTAAAGTAGTCCTTTCACATTTAAAAATCAAATGATTAGAACAAACATTTACTCCCCAGCATAAGAGATTGCATCTTTATGAACATGATTACATTAGCACAGTTCAATGCCTTGTGTCAATTCTCAGTGTGTCTTATCTACGGAGTAACTTTCAGTATAATAAAAAATCAGCATGCTCTGAGACCCAGTTGTTGGGCTGGCTCACAAAGAAGATTCAAACGGTCAGATCAGAACAATTTTAAGGTTTGTAATATTTGCTTTAGCATTTCCTGGACTCATATTACAGCTTTTTAAGTGTGTTTCAAGGCAGCTGACCTAGAAGCTGGTTTCATATTTTGGATTTCTACAATACAAATAGATCCTTCACAAAAGTATAGTTAGTGGTTCAAACAACCCCACAGATTTTCCTCTGTGTTCTGTTGCTTGGTCACTTTATGTTAGGATGTACTTTCTGAATTCATCTTTAACAGAGAGAAAAAATGCTGCCTGAAAATTAGGAAGCTAACTCAGCTCTTTAAATAGCTTCAGAGTAAACAACAAAACACAG